GCCGCCGCGCTTCCCAAGCGGCGCACTATCCAGTGCGCCACCGGGCCGGCCCCCCAAAATTTTTTTTTTGATAACTTATACCTTCTACCTTTTCCATACTTTCTACTTATGAGATATAGGACTACTCAATTAATCATGCACATTTCTCTTTTCCTCCTGCTATCGTCCATGTTATAAGCAAATCTTTATCTACTATGTGGGAAACTTTCTCAACTTTTTCTTCCAACTCTTCTACTGCTTTTTAAACTTTTTTTAGCTTTCACACTTATCATGTCGAGGAGCTTGTTCTCATTCTCCTGAATGTCCTTTGCTGAGCAGACTGTTCTTGCTTCCTGGCTGTGACAGCCTTTCCTCTCTCTGAGGTTGTTAATGACAGAAATTTGAAGTTTTCTTCTGTTCACTGCATTTTCTCTATGTCCTCATAAATCCTCTTTTATGTTTGTTTGCTTTTTGTCTAGCCATGTTGGGAGCTTTCCTCCAATGTCTCATGAAAGTACCTTTTTAAATAAATCAGCCAATTTGAGTAGGGTTTCTGTAATCTGCAGGTTGTCAGTGACTGTCAGGCCCCACCCCGCCGAGCACACTCCCCACACACGTTCTGTGAAGGAGGCAGAAGAGGAACTCTTGGTATCGTGCAAAGTAGAGACAGTCACAGAGAGTGTCAAATGACAGGACCACTGTCCCAGGAAGGCTGGGCAGCGCCTGCACCAGACCCCATTCTCTGTGCCATGCTTGTCCCTGGCATCTCTGTGTAAGGCCTCTGTCCCTCCTGTGCATCCAGTCTGCAGCCCAGGAGGGGGGTGGGAGACTGACATAACCCCCCCCCCCCCGGNACCCCCCCCCCCCCAGGAACCTGTGGAAGGGCCTTGTCCTCGTCACTGTCGACACTAATCCTTGGAGTGGCTCAACCTCATGATTGTCCCTCACATTGAGGATTTTTTTTCTTTCTTTCCCTAAAGAAAGTCCTCCTGTGTTTGGAAAATTCTGGAAAGAAATGCCCACACCCCCTTCCTGAAGTGGATGCCTAGTTCTTGTTAGTGCAGCATTCCTTCTCTTTTCTGATAACAGAACCACCCTTTCCTGGGGAACACGTCCCATGTGAATGATCTCCCCTCTCCTCCCACGGGGCAGCACATGTGACCCCACAGTAACCAATCGGAGCACTCCTTCCCCCTGATTGGCTCAGGGATCCACATGTGACCCATGTATGACCAATTAGAATTCTCCCCAGGATATTCTACTAGCAGTAGTTGGCTTGGAGCCTCTTCCTGCCAGGGTTGCTAAAGTGGCAGAACTCAAGCCTTAGGTAGCTGGGAGCCACATGCAGAGTCTCTCAGAGAGATGGAGGAAAAGAAGCCTGAAATGAATGCTTGAGCCCCTGGATCCAGCCATTCCTGAACCTAGGTATCTCTTGAATTCCCAGTTGCATGAGCAAATAGATTCCCCTTTTTGTTTAAGCCTGGGTGAGTTAGGTTTCTGCCACTTGCAGCCAAAATGCTCCTGAATTACTTCCTAGATTCTTTTTCCTGCTCTACACCTCCTATCTTGGCTGTCTGCTAAAATCCCACAGGTCAGGAGTCCTGTCTGGGCTCTGAGAGGAAGAGAGTGACCAAGATGAGAAAATAGAATTGCATTTGTGAGCGGGTCATGATGGTTTGAAAAATCATTTCCAACTCACGGAGCAAATTTCTCCTCCCCCTATGCAACTCTGGGGGCTGCAAGCTCTGCGTGCACCCCTCAAGGCAGAAAGGAGCGGCGGGCAAGCGAGTGAGCTAGTGAGAGCAAAGGGCTGGGGGATGGATGGACTTAATCATTCTCTGCTTTCAATGGTAGCTGGTTAATTTTCTTCCTGAAGAGACCAGCACTGACCTTCACCTCTAGCTCCCATTAACTGCCAGCAACGCTTCCTCAGCATATTTATGACAAATTAATTATACAGAGAGGGAAAAATCTCGCTGAAAAAATGAGTATTCTGGTTCAGGCACTTCATTTTGATCCCCTGCTGACATGGGGCCTGATTACCCACACACCTTGGGCGAACTTTGAGGCAAGCAACTGATTTTAGCTCAGTGCAGGAGAGAGACAACCCCAGAAACAATGAGCCAAACCTGATTGTAAACCCCTTTTAGCTGGCGGCTCATGTTTGCAAACAGGATATTCCACGAGGAAATGATTTGGGAACCCCGGATCATCATAGTGGTTGAGATAACTTTGTTCCCAATAGGGCCAGGCAATTCCAGCCCATGGGACGAGTCCCCTGTCCCACATAATGAATCCAATACCTTGATGCAGGTTGGGCTGTGCTTGCGTCATGCCAGGTGTCAGGTTCCTGTTCCCAAGCACATGTGGTCTGGCCCCTGCTTCCCTCTCCACCAGTTCCGCCTCTATTTTCTTTGAGTTGGGCTCTCCAGCAACACCCAAACTGCTGTGGTTCTCCAAATAAATTATCTTGTTCTGACCTTCATGTCTGTGTACATGCCTGTGCCTGAGTGTATGTGCGCATGTGTGTATGTGCCTGTGTGTGCGTGTATGTGTGCATGTGCATGTGTGTGTGCATGTGAGTGTGTGCATGTGTGTGAGTGTATGCATGTGTGTGTGCATGTGAGTGTGTGCATGTGTGTGCATGTACGTGTATGTGTGTATGTGTGTGCATGTGCATGCCCACATGTGTGCATGTGCAGGGAGGACACAGTCCCCTGGCTGGTCACCACCTTCCTCTATCCTCCATCCTCCTGCCATCCTCCCTTCCTAAGTGCCCTCTAAGTCCTCACCTCACTCCTTGGTTCTGGAAATATCACAGCGCCCCACCCCTTCTGAGGGATCTAAGGGAGCTTGGTCCCTGTGTCTGGGATACAGCAAATGTCCCCTGTGAACTGGCCTGGAGAGGTCACCTGACCCAGGGGGTGGCCAATGACTTCCACCAGGGCCTGGAGTGGGGTGGAGGGTTCTCTCTGGAAGTTCAGTTAAGAAATCTGGAGAGATCAAGGCTGAGGAGGGAAGATTCTAGAAGGTCAGGTGGCCATGGTGGGCCTTGATGAAGTCAGGTCATGGGTGAGGAGAACAGAGTGGGGCAGTGTCTCAGCCCGTTCAGGCTGCTACAACAAAATACCTTAGACTGGTAATTTATAAACAACAGAAATTCATTCTCACAGTTTTGAAGGTGGAGAAGTCCAAGATCAAGGTGCCAGCAGATTTGGTATGTGGGGAGGGCAGCTTGGTCTCTGCTTCAATGATTGCACCTTGCTGCTGTGTCCTCATGTGGGGGAAGGGAAAAGGGGACTAACACACTCCCTCAAGCCCTTTTTTCAGGGCACTAACCCCATTCACAAGGGCAGAGCCCTCACGAATCAATCACCTTGTAAACGCCCCACCTCTTCATACTACTGCTGGGGATTAAGTTTCCACATGGATTTTGGAGGGACACAAACATTCAGACCATAGCAGGCAGCTGTGATGGAAGGTGACTCACAGCAGGGACCCCGGGCCCAGGAAGGAGTACAGGGAGTGGTGGGGGCCCGGCTGTCTGGCCAAGCCCTGCTGCAGTCTGCCTGCTGTCTCTCAGCACACCCAGGGTTCCTCACGAGGACTCCCTGTCTGCTCCCAGCCACCACGACCTGGCCTAAGACCATCCTCGTGCCAGGCCCAGCCCCCCAAGCTGGCTCCTGCTGGCCATGGTCAGAAGCAAGCAGGTCAGAAAAGGCGTATGGGAAACGCAGGAAGCGCTGGGCCCAGGTTCTCTAGCATCTGCCTCTCTGGCCTCTTTCTGAGCAAGTCTGGCCTGAGGCTGTCTGTTCTAAATCCCACCTCCCCCTGGGCTGCCCACATCTGGGGTTCCATCCATCCAGCGACTGTGTCCTGCAGTTTCCGGATCCCCATTTCCAAGAGTCACAGCTTCCAGCTGGAGGGTGAGCGTGGAGATGTAGCTGGGGGCATCCTGACCAACATCGCGAAGGAAATCACTTCTGCACTGTGTGGCTTCAGGACTAGGATCTGGGGGAAGAGAAGATGTCACAAGAGAACACGTGAGTGGCCTCATCTCGCATAACCAAGGCTATGGGGTTAACTGGGGACAAAGGCCACTGTCCCAGGCTGCAGGTCCCTGCCCTTCCTTGCCTGCACCACTGCAGTAGCTCCCTGCTTCCCCCGGCCTCCCTTTTTGCTCTGTCCCCAAATTGTCTTCAGTGATACTTTTAAATTATGCAACAAATCACAATGTTTCTGCTCAAAACCCTCCAGGGAATCCCAGCTCACTTCAGATAAGATCCAGACTTGTCATCTGGGCTTTCAGGCTCTGCAACACTAGACCCCTGCCCAGGCCCTGGGCTCATCGGATTCACTCCCTCTTGCTCCCTGGGCTCCTGCCCCATGACACTGAGCATGTCGCTCTTGTTCCTGCCCCAGGGCCTTTGCACTCACCATCCCCTCCACCTGTAGCACCATTCCCAGGGCTTTGCCTGGCCCGGTCCTTGCTCAGCCTCAGATCCCTCCCCAAGGTGCTCAGCACGGCCCCTGCCCAGCCCTCTCCAGGTTTCATTGTCTTTACAGTTCAAATCTTTCTTTAAAACAATTGTGTTGTGAGTGTCTCTATTCCCTAAGGGAATATAATCTCCATGAAGGGGGGGATATTCATCTGTCTTGCTCATGGCTCTATCTCTGGAGTCAAGTTCTAAAGAAAAATTGGTTGAGCCATTGAATGAATGAATGAACTACTTCCTAATATTTGAAAGATGGGCAAAGTTTAAGGTGGCCACAGCATTATTCCTTGGGAAGAATCAGTGGACCCGGGTGACTCATGGGGAGGTGGGGTGAGAATAGAGGAGGGATCATGTTCCAGAAGGTTCCAAGTGGACCGGCTTCATGGCTGCATGGCCTGGGCATTATATAGGGACCCACCCTTAGGAAAGACATGAGCTCAGTTTAATGCTTTGCTGTCATCGTCTTGAAATTCTTACTGAGTCTTGAACGGGGAACCCTACTTTTTCGTTTTGCACAGGGCCCTGCAGATCATGGAGCTGGCCCTGTCCAAGTTTACAGCCGTGAGATGGAGATGCAGGAATCACAGCTGAAAGCCCCCTCCCAGGGCTCCCCTAATCCTCTCTAGGACCCCAAAAGACGGCTCTGCACTCTCTAGCACTGACAGCCTCTGAGTAGCTATTTCCTCAAAAATGCAGCACAACAGGACACCTTGCCTCCTGCTTCTCAGGGCCACACCCTGCCCATGGCCCAAGGAAGAAGCCAGGTGCTTCTTGGGTGGACAAGACCTCATCAGCTCCTCTGCTGGGACCTCGGGGAAGGACTCCAGGAGGACATAGGACAAATTCGGGAGTATAGCCATTTTTGAAAAACAGAAGGTTGTGTTTGTTTCTTTTCAGAAAGAGGAATCTTGGCTGGTCAGGCTTGAGACCCACAGGGCTCTGCAAACCACCCATGCATGTTGTGGAGTCCTGAGCACACACCCTCCTGGGGCCCCTCCACAGCCTGGGGGGTGTCTGAGAACTGGAAGCTGCCTTTGTTGAAAGAAGGGAGCCCATGCTCCAAGAGGCTTGTTGCCTAGGCCCCAACGAGGTGCCCCCCTCCCCCGTGGCCCCTGCAGTATCACTGACACATGGGACTCTGAGGGGGTCCCGGAGGGAGTGCTTAGAGGGAAGAGGGGGGCCTGGATTTCCTGCTATACCAGGCCAGCAAAGACATGGCCATCAGGGTGAGGAGACCCTCTCTATGTCCAGGACACGTCCCCTGGGCCTTCAGGCACTGGCTGCAGATGCCAGCCACTCCACCAGATTCCAGCCAATCTGGGTTTTCTAACCACTGGTGGGACTGGGTGTGACTCCTTATTCCAAATCCCAGAAGTGTAGGAGATGAAATCCTTCTAATCCTTTCTTCACACTGAAGGCAGAATTCTCATCCTGCCCCTCTCCTGCTCAAAGCCTCTCTGTGGCTCCCTGTTGCTCAGAGCAAGGTGGCAGGTGGGGAGGGTGTCCCTGGTGGACAGAACAGTGTGGGCAACAGACTAGTGGTGAGGACATGATGATGTGGGGACAAGTGGGGTGTGGCTGGGAGGGGAGCAGAGGCCAGAGCCAGCTCCAGGCTGTGGGAGGACGTCAGAGTCAATTCTACAGCAATGCTTTAGTGACGTCCACGTGGTGTTAAATCTGCAGGCTTGCAGAATGCAAGAGCTGGAGAGGCATCGCACCCCAATTCCAGAGGATGGATGGAAAAGTCTGGGGGTGCAGGAAGAGATCTGTTGTGGGGTGGAGTTACTGCAGACAGCCTCCACTAGAGCAATGCCGAGCAGAAATGTGGCGTCAGAGTTGCAGCAGAGAAACCCCACCAGGGCAATGCCTGGTGGAGCTGTGAGAGCGGGACCACCATGGAGACCCCGGAATTGTGGAGATAATAGCGTGCAACACCAGCCTGCAAGAGCTGAAGCATGGGCTGAGACCNAGGTATCACTGACACATGGGACTCTGAGGGGGTCCTGGAGGGAGTGCTTAGAGGGAAGAGGGGGGCCTGGATTTCCTGCTATACCAGGCCAGCAAAGACATGGCCATCAGGATGAGGAGACCCTCTCTATGTCCAGGACACGTCCCCTGAGCCTTCAGGCACTGGCTGCAGATGCCAGCCACTCCACCAGATTCCAGCCAATCTGGGTTTTCTAACCACTGGTGGGACTGGGTGTGACTCCTTATTCCAAATCCCAGAAGTGTAGGAGATGAAATCCTTCTAATCCTTTCTTCACACTGAAGGCAGAATTCTCATCCTGCCCCTCTCCTGCTCAAAGCCTCTCTGTGGCTCCCTGTTGCTCAGAGCAAGGTGGCAGGTGGGGAGGGTGTCCCTGGTGGACAGAACAGTGTGGGCAACAGACTAGTGGTGAGGAGATGATGATGTGGGGACAAGTGGGGTGTGGCTGGGAGGGGAGCAGAGGCCAGAGCCAGCTCCAGGCTGTGGGAGGACGTCAGAGTCAATTCTACAGCAATGCTTTAGTGACGTCCACGTGGTGTTAAATCTGCAGGCTTGCAGAATGCAAGAGCTGGAGAGGCATCGCACCCCAATTCCAGAGGATGGATGGAAAAGTCTGGGGGTGCAGGAAGAGATCTGTTGTGGGGTGGAGTTACTGCAGACAGCCTCCACTAGAGCAATGCCGAGCAGAAATGTGGTGTCAGAGTTGCAGCAGAGAAACCCCACCAGGGCAATGCCTGGTGGAGCTGTGGGAGCGGGACCACCATGGAGACCCCAGAATTGTGGAGATAATAGCGTGCAACACCAGCCTGCAAGAGCTGAAGCATGGGCTGAGACCAGGAAAGCCATAGGAACGGGGCTGCCCGAGGACTTGGGGCCACCCCTGTGCCAGTGTGCAGAGGATGCTGGACACGGAGTCAAGGAAGATTATTCTCCAACTTTGAGATCTGATGCCTGCTCTGCTGGTTGCTGGACTTGTTTTGGACCTGCCACCTCTTCTTTTTGGCTCATCTCTCCATATTGGAATGAAAATTTGTCTTGTGCCTGTCCCCCCACGCATCTTGGGAGGAGATAACTTTGATTTCACAGATGAGACTTTGGGCTTCTGAGCTGAAACAAGACTTTGAGGATGGAATGAATGTATTTACTTCTGAGAAAGAAATGAACTTAGGGGGGTCAGGGGCAGAATGCTATAGATTAAACGTGTCTCCCAAAGGTTCATGTACCGGAAATTTAATCCCCACTTTAACAGTGTCAGAGGGTGGGAAATCCTGTTATGGTAATTGAAAGGTGGGGCTTCAGGAGGTGATTGGATTGTGAGGACTGTGCCCTTGTGAATGGATTAATCCATCGATGGTTTAATGGGTTGTGATGGGCGTGTTCTGATGGCTTTATCAGGAGAGCCAGTGAGAAGCTTAGCTCTCTCTCTTGCTCAGCCCATTCCTGCCATGTGACACCCTGCATCACTGTAGTGAGTCACCACCAAGAACAACCTGTTCACCGGATGTGTTCCCTGGACTTGGGACTTCCCAGCCTCTGAAACTATAAGAAATACATTCTACTTCTTCATAAATTTCCCAGTTTCAGGTATTCTGCTGTGAGCAACAGAGACTACCTAATGCGGATGATGACAACAATCATGACACTTCCCGCTGCCCGCGCACGTGGCCGGGCTGGGCGCGGTGCTGGTGCTTTGCCTGCATGTTTTGCCTCATCCTCTCAACAGCTGTGAGGCTGCTACAGGCCGTTCTTATCATCCCCATTTTACAGACAAGGAAACTGAGGTGCAGAAAGTTCAGTGATGCAGGTTAGGTCCCTGGGCTCTAACTTCAGAGCTCGTGCTCTTTGCCACTGCCCTGTACCGCTCACAGACTCCGGGAAAGAGGAGACCAGTGAATGATTATGGAAGGAAGGAAGGAGAGGAGGGAAGGAGGGACGGAAGGAGGAAAGGAGTGAATGAATGGGGGAAGGAGAACACACAGGGGCCCCTGTGCCCCAGGCTCACCTGTGTCCGCGCCTGACTCTCTGTCTCCAGACGCCGCATCTCCTGGACCAGTGGCCCCGGGGCCGACGGTCATCCTGTTCCTGCTGCCGATGGAGGCATCCTCGAGGAAGCATGATTTGATGTGGACTCTCTGGGATGCATCCCCCTCAGGGTGAAGTCCTGGTTTGGGCATTCGCACTTCAAATGAAGCTTCTGGACCATCGGTGGTGGCAGAGACTGTGCATCAGCCAGCGAGAGATGCAGGAGGGGTGAGCAGCTGGACAGTGACCCCATAGTCCTGTCCCCCAGCCTGGCTTTCAAGTCCCCTGACACCTCCCACCAGGGGTCCACACCACACTGGGCGGACAGCCACCGCCTGGCCACCCACTGCCACACCTTTGCACATGCCCGTCACCTGCCTGGGATGCCATCTCTCTCCACCCTCCTGAGCCCAGTCCTGCTGATGTGGTCCTCAGTGTCTTCCTCTGGGACTCAGTTTCCCCACTCTGCTACCTCCTCATCTCTCTGCTGTCTGCTTCCCACTTTTGCTTAAAATCTACCCCCGTCCCCCACCCGACCCCAGGGCCCAGTCCTGCTGATGTGGTCCTCAGTGTCTTCCTCTGGGACTCAGTTTCCCCACTCTGCTGCCTCCTCATCTCTCTGCTGTCTGCTTCCCACTTTTGCTTAAAATCTACCCCCGTCCCCCACCCGACCCCAGGCCCTGCCATCTGGCTCCTCCCTTTCCTGCCCAAACTTCTGAAGAGAGTTGTCCACACTTAGTCTCCTCAGACTCCTCCTGTTTCCCTCACTCCCCAAAAATGTCCCCCTAAGGTCATCACCAACCCCAAGGATGCTTCTCCAACCTCGCTGGCCTCGCCCCTCTCTGGAGACTCCTCTCCAGGGCTCCCTGCTTTTCCTCTTCATTCCTTCTCTGTTCTCTCTGCTGTTCTTCTCCCCCAGCCCATCTCTGGGTTGCCAGCACAGAGGAGGACTCAGCCAGGCCCTCTGGTCACTGCAGCCACAGCGCTCAGTAAGACACCACGTCCTTAAGCTGGTTCCTGTCCTCCATCCTCCTGAGACATCATTCCAGTCTAATGCCATTGCCTCTGTCCCTGCTTCAGCTGGCCCAGCCTCCGCTTCTCTGGGGAGTCCATGCCCATTTTACAGATGAGGAAACTGAGGTTTCCTGCAGTGGGCAGCAGGGGCTGGGAATCCAGAATGCTAGCTGTAAAAGCCCCACCTGCTCTGTGGTACATACAGCCTCCTGGTGGAAGGAAAGGAATTTTGTTGTCATGACTCCCCCCGCAAAGACTCTGGCTCCAGCTCCTTCCGGAGAGGAACCAAATGGGGTGGTGGTGGTGGGTCTGGGCATGTGATCCCATTACCTGGGGGGCTGCCTGGCAGTCTGTGGGTGGGGCCCTCAGATGGGATGCTGTGCACGCTCATCTCATTGCTGTGTCCCAGCTGCACCCGTCTGAGAATGGATTGCTCCACATGGATGTCCTGGGGCCCCCAGACATCAGCTAGGGGACCCTGAGTGGAGGAATCACCTGGTGCTGTTGAAGGAAGGTAGTGGGGAGCTGTGGAACCTGGCAGGGGGACAGAGCAGCATGACCTTACTGGAGGTGACCCCAGGCTTCCTTCCCCACCTCTGACCCTCCCCCACTCGCCAACACACACAGACACACACAGACACACACAGACACACACAGACACACACAGACAGACAGACACACACACACACACACAGAGTTCTGTAGTCCTGGCTGGACAGAAGTGACAGGCCTCTGAATTCTTCCTAGACACCACTGGACTGGGAGCCAAGTGTTTCAGGTTCTGGATTGGAGAGCAGATGGACCCAGCACAGGGGCTAGTGATGGGGTTCCCCAGTTTTTCACGATGGTGGCTGGTACCTGGGGTGTTGCTTAGACGCTTGCAAACCCAAACAATGAGCATATCAATCTGGTTCCTAATCATTCTCAATCCTTCTGAGCTCAACAGGAGAAAGTGTCCTCTGGTGCTAACATATCTTTAACACCTCCCTACAGGAGCACTCAGAGCCTCGCACACTGTTTTATTTCCCCAGCATTTATTCTATGGTGACCATCATGGTTTTCCACTTAAGGTGATGCTACAAAATTTTATTTTAAAATACAAGTAAACTTGAGTAGGAAAAATGGTGAACCATATTAGCTTAACAACATTAAGTAAAGAACCAGACATGGTCATAGCCAAAATTGGGAAGGTGGGGCTCAGAGTATTCAAGTGGGGGAAATGATGATCTAGATTCTCAGTTGGGGAAACTGAGGCCCAGAGGGGGAAAAGGCTCTCCCAGGGTTACAGGGAGTCTCACTCATGGTTGTCTTGGCTGGACTGACAGGTGGTCCCTTGTTGCCACAGTGCCTGGCATGGAGTAAGTGGTCAATTGATGGCACCACATTTCATCACAACTAGGGTGCCACTGATGGTAAGAGGCATCCCGATTCCTAACACGTTAAACTGTGGGAGAAAGTAGCGTGTCTCAGAACAAGTAAAGTACGACAACAAACCCCTGGTGACGCTCTGCTGCAGGGGAGTGAATGGAGTTGTTTCTCATTTAAAAAAATGTTAAATTCTGTTGAAAATGAAGCAAAAGGCATCAGAATGAAGGGAGAGCAGGAGAGGTTTGATCCAGGCTTCCTCATTCTCAGGAAGGCCATAAAGGAGAACCACGGAGACTGGAAAGCGGCCCCTCCTCCTCCCACTGCCACCCCCACCCGGGGGAGCAGGTGCCCCCTGAAGTGCCTCCTCCTAGAAGTCCCTCGGACACTTACCGTCCTCTCCAGGGGTCAACTGTGTCATTATGACATTCCCATGTCCAATCTGGGTGGAGTTAGAGTTTGAAATGGAAATGAGGCTGTTTGGTCCATTCTGGCAGATCATGTTGATTGGATTTTGCTGGTAAATAGTTGGGGTGGACTGATTTCTTCTTCCAGAATCTTCTACAAAAAAAAAAAACTTCACTCTATCCCTTTGCCCCTCTCTAGGGGTCAGGGTTCCAAGTACCAGTCGGCAGCACCCAATTTTCCCGGGGATCTTGTTAAAACACAGATTTCCAGTCACGCATCCTGGGGTTTTGAGTCAGTCGGTCCAAGGTAGGAACCAATGTGTTTAACACACAAGCATCTCCAATGGAGCCTCACTTGGAAATCGCTGTGGCAGGTCCACCCTCCCCCATGTGTTCATTGCCACCTCCATGGCCAAGCCACATGGCCACTCACTAGGAGGACTGCAGGAGGCTTGTACTGCTCTCCCCACCCTTTTCCCTCTTGCTGGGAGGCACCCACAACCCTGACCACTGAACTCCATGGCCCCCTCTCCCTTGAGCAGTGGCTGAAAGACGGTGTCCACGGGCAGAGAGGTTTTATTTGCTCACATAACGTTTAGAAGAGTTTGGATTTGTCACCATTATTGAAAATCTGGCGGCTCTCCCACATGATCATTCCTTCCTAAGAGCAGCCCCGTGATGCTGAGACAACCCCCCACCCCCCACCTGGGTGCTGAGAACAGGAGTGTTGGCCCCTCGTGGGCTGAGACAGGCCCCTGCCCAGGCTTTGCCAACTTCGCAGGGCCACAGTACCACCCTCGTGAGCCCTCGGCTCTTGTGCCCTTGTGGGCCCTTTTCTCCATAAAAAAAAAAAAAAAAACAACATTTTAAATTATATTTTTTGACCGTGTCAGTGTAAAAACCAATATAATCCAGGCTAGATTCATTTTTTTAGATATTCATTATTATTATAACATTCATTTCTTCTTCTGATTTTAAAAGAAATTAAAATTGAAACATTTTGTGGACCCCTAAGAGTACCATGAGCTCTAAACCCTGTGCCTACTGTACCTCATGGACAAGCTGGCCCTAGGCTCGCCTTTTAGGTATCTGAGCTCACCCTTCCTTTCTCTTTTGGCAACTTTAAAACCCTAAGGTAGGCAAAGTGCTCACACAAAACCATCATCAAATTATTATTATAACATTCATTTCTTCTTCTGATTTTAAAAGAAATTAAAATTGAAACATTTTTGTGGACCCCTAAGAGTACCATGAGCTCTAAACCCTGTGCCTACTGTACCTCATGGACAAGCTGGCCCTGGGCTCGCCTTTTAGGTATCTGAGCTCACCCTTCCTTTCTCTTTTGGCAACTTTAAAACCCTAAGGTAGGCAAAGTGCTCACACAAAACCACCATCAGACTCAGACTGACCCCTTGCACCCCAGGGCAGATAAAATTTGGAGTGGGCCACCTCCCCTCCCAGCCCCTTGCCTTCTGCAACTCAGCCCTTGGGCCTCCACTCCAGGAAGCCCTCCCTGATTAATCCTGCCAGCATGCCCCTCCCTACCAGAACCCCCTCCAGTGAACCATCAGTAAGACCACCAGAAGCTTCTGGCAGGTTCTGACGAGGTGGAGGAGGCAAAATGCTTAGCAGAGCACCCAGCAAGGACCAGGCACTGTGTGTTCATGGCTTCCCTTCACAGCTCTGCACCTCTGCCCCTGCCCAGGTGAGGGCCTACCTGGTCGATAAATCGTCCATGCTTTTGACTTCTTGTCAAAGTCCAGAAGGTGCTTGTCCTTCATCTTGTACAAGTCTGGGTTGATATCTTTTGCTGTCCTCATGCCCAGGGCCTGAGCGATGATCAGGGCCCTCTGAGACCCATTATCTTCCAGAAACCTGTAGATCTCTTCCTCTGAGAGGCAGAAGGGTCAGGTGTTTAAGACAGACCCCCTGAATTTGAACCTGCCCCACCACTCACTAGTTGCGTGACCTTGGACAGTTACCCAGCCCTCTGGCCAGTTTCCTCATCTGTAAAATGTGCATAGTTATAACGGGGGCAGTGACGATCACTGGAGAGGCTGCTCTGAAGGATCGGGATGTGCATACAGTGCTCTGCACAGTGGGTGCCTGGCACAGGGTAGGTGCCCAATAAATATCAGCTATGGATCGGAGAAATAGTTGCTCAGCCATTTAGAGTCTTCCACTGTGAACAATGAGTCTTGGCTCTGAACATTTTGTGGGAGGCTCTTGGTGGATGGGACGTGGCCCCTGAACACTCGTAACCCTCAAGGAGGGTTTGGAATGGACCCCCCCGTCCCAGCAGCTGAAAGGGAGCCAAGGTGCTTACGCCGCTTGCTGAGCTGAGAGCCGGGGTTCTCTGCAATCGCAGCTGCGTCTGGCTGGGGACTCACAGCTAAAGAAAGGCAGATCGGTTAGAGGGGTGAGGGAATGGGAGACAACACCGGGCCTCTACCGCGCAAGGGTGGGCAGCTCCACAGGTGGGCCACACTGCCTGGGTGTTTCAAACTCAGATTCCAGAATTAAAAATACTTGGCTTCCAATCCCGCCCTGCCCCTTTCCAGCTGTGTGGCTTCCTTTTGATCAACTTCTCTGGGGCTCAACTTCCTTTTCTGCAAAAAAAATAAAAGAGGAAAAACAACATCTTTCTATTTCTTGGGGTTGTGTGAAAGGTCAGTGAACCCTTGGGCACAGGACCCAACACATGGTGAGTACCTGATAAATGTTAGCTCTTTTGTCTGTGAACTCAAACTAGAAAAGGGGATCTAGTGTGAAGTGAAGTATGTTCTATTGTTATCACTGTTGATTACTACCCCTGGTCACAATCAATGATCATTATTAATTTTTGTTGTTGTTATTGATGTTTTTCTGAGTACCAACAATGTGCCGGCACTGGGCTGAGCCCTATGCAGCGAATCCTCCCAGCAACTCCTACAAAGCAGCCCTATTGTCATCTCCATTGACCAGAAAAAGAAATCAAGGCACAGCGAGGGGACATCATGCGTCCCCATGTGTGGTAGAGCCTAGATTCAAACCCAGTTCCAAATCTGGGCTTGTCCATTGCCAGGATGGCTCCTGCTGGGTCACACCTGCCTCCTGGGAGGGCAGGTTACCTTGGCTGGGCTGGGCCAGACCTGCAGAAACCTCGCCTTCAGAACCACCCCCACCAAAGCACCACGTGGCAGGGGCTGCGAGGGAGATTTTCAACTCTTTCTTCATTCGGTAGAGGACTTGGTTGAGCTCCTTCTTGGGCACTTGGCATTCCGTCACCAGCCAACTGGTCTTCACAGGGGAACCTGCATCCCTCAGCACCTGCAGGATCTTCTGTTCAAGGTGGCCTGGGAGAAGGGGGCAGGGCAGAGAGAAGAACTGAGACCCCAGGATTCCCAGTCCAAGCTGGGGTTCAAGGCTCCCAGAGACAGGGAAAGCCCCCCCTTGAGAGCAGTGCCAGGCAGAGGAAGTGGGCAGACAATGGAGCAGACACCCACCAATAACAGCAGCAACAACCTCTGTTCAGAGGGGGAGGCTTCCCAGTCCAAGCTGGGGTTCAAGGCTCCCAGAGACAGGGAAAGCCCCCCCTTGAGAGCAGCGCCAGGCAGAGGAAGTGGGCAGACACTGGAGCAGACACCCACCAATAACAGCAGCAACAACCTCTGTTCAGAGGGGGAGGTACACGGGCTGGTCAGAAGTGACTTTCTGGACAGAGGAGGCCAGACGTACCCAGGGGTGGGTACGAGATGGCAGGTGGGAGAGAGGGTGGCAGGCTGGATCAGGAGGGAGGAGAGGGGCCCCGGGGAGCAAGCCATGTCCTGCCTGGGACACCCGCCTCTGGTGTTCTCTATCCCCTGTCACCACTCTCCCTGGGGTTCTCTTCCTCTCAGGCTCACTTACATCAATGGTGTTGTTATTGGGCCAAACCAAAGCCCAATGGACATTCAGAAACAAACCTTCCCCCTGAAACCCAGGCACAGAGTCCTGGAAATACCATTCCTGGATTTGTCCCCCAGCCCTTCACTTCCTTTCTTCTCTGTCCCCACCCACTCATTCCTGTCACCATCTCCTGGGTGACACCAATAGTCTCTCCACTGGTCCACCAATTCCAGTCCGGTTCCCCCCAGTCCTCCATCCACTCGGCAGCTAGATCTGGCTCTGCTGACCCCCACCTCGTCTACACCCATGCCCAGTTTCCCTCTAAGTGCCGACCTATCTGGGCTCCTTTCCACCCCACTAACCCCAGGGCCTTTGCACATACTGTTCCCTCTGTCAGGAACGCTCTTCCCCCCTCTCCACCCATCCAACGTTTACGCAACCTCCAGGTCTCACTCAGGTGCCGCCTCCTTTGGAAAGTCCTCCATGCCCCAGCATGGGCAGAATGCCGCTTGTATGTGTCCCCTGGGGCTCCTTTCCACCCCACTAACCCCAGGGCCTTTGCACATACTGTTCCCTCTGTCAGGAACACTCTTCCCCCCTCTCCACCCATCCAACGTTTACGCAACCTCCAGGTCTCACTCAGATGCCGCCTCCTTTGGAAAGTCCTCCATGCCCCAGCATGGGCAGAATGCCGCTTGTATGTGTCCCCTGCAGAACGTCCCCAAGGATCCCCTGCTACACTTGCCTGGTTTGCTGTCGTACCTTTGGTGTCTAGCACAGTGCTGGGCATGGAGTAGGGGCTCAGGAAATGGCAGTTGCACAAATGAGTGACTTGGTGAGTGAATGAATGGTGAGTGATGCATTTGTACTCTACTGGGACAGATGTCTGCCCAGTTGACCCAGGACAGGGCACAGGCAGGTCCTCCTTGGCTGGTGGCATATGCACCTGTTTCACTGTTTGAGTTTAACGAGCCCCAAGCAGGTCTTCATGAAGTTAAGGAAGGAGCTCTCCAACTGGCCCCACTCCTCCTTGAGCAAACTCTCAAAAATCAAAACCATCACCTCACATAATTAAAAAAGAAATCAAAAGCAGCTGCTCTGCCAGGAGCTGAGGATGGGGCAGACACAGGGCGCAGGCAGCCTCTGGGAGCCAGCCGTGGAGAGAGCCACTGTGGGCGGTGGCCCAGCTGTCACCGGAAACGTCTGCCCCAAGATCCCCGAGGGAGGTGCAAGGCAGGGAAGACCTGGGTCCCCTTCCAGGGCAGTGGCCCAATCCTTCATCTTCAGGGCCTTTCTTTCCTGATCAGAGGATTCTCTAGGTGTGCCCAGTTCCTTGGTGGCAGTGCTTGTTGGGCAGGGGACAATAAGTCTGCTGACACTACAGCTGGTCACTGTGCCTTGGCCTGTGATCAGAATGTTTTCATCCCTGCTGGGTGCAGATGAGCAACTGGAAGACCTGGGGGCACCCACCCCTTCACTTCACTTGCCAAATTCTACCCCCAGCAGCTGGGGGATCCCCATCCAACCAACTGTACACTTGGCTTCGCCTTGTCTTGCAGAGTTTTGTTATTGAGAAGGATGGCTCACAGTGAACCTCTTCCCCTCCCTCCTCTACACTGCTGATCCCCAAAGGAGAGGTGGGGTCAGGGATGTGGATGAAAAACAAGCCCAAGGAGCCAGGCTGGCCTCGGCTGCGGAGTGCTGGGCAACTGCATCTGAAAATGGGCAATTGTGAAATGGAGCAGGTGTAGGTGACAAGCTGGTAATAAAAGAAAAATCAACTGAGGAAGAAGACAAGGAAATCAGTTAAAGCTGGCTACTGAGTCTTCACTAGTGTCTGCATGTCTCCCCAAAAGAGACACAACAGGAACCCGAGCGACCAGCCAGGGCTCCTGGCTACACCCAGACGCCACCCCTCCCAGTTCTCCTTTCTATTCTCTCATGGCTGCTTTCCTGGGTTTGAGCCCCAGCTCTGCCAACTGCTAGCTGTGTCACTGCATTGTGCCTCAGTTTCCCCATCCGTGAAATGGGTATAATCGCAGCTACTACAGAGATTGCAGTGAGGATTCGATGAGCTAATGATCAAAAATGAAACAAAATAAAAATACCCAAAACTGCCCTCAGCCCACAGACCACAAGCACTTAGGGGAGCCCCTAGAGAACCACTGCTCAGTACACAGTTGGCCTTCATGGGGACTCTTCCAGGAGTCAACTGTGAATTGTGGAAAGAATGCAACGAGGGGGAAACAGGCACACACACATCTCATCAGAGCAACTTTGATAATGATCGTGAGACAGCATTCAACCCTAGCTGATGTTCGCCAGCTGTGATACCCTGAGAGAGTCATTTCACCTGAGGCCTCAGTTATCTCATCTATAAAATGGGAACACCATGGCCCTTGCCGCCGGCAAGCCATTGAGAAATGCACGCAAAGCGGGCTGCGAGGTGCCTAGGGCATAGTAAGCTTTCGAAGCAGGGTGGCTGTGCATCCTTCTACTTCTTGTTACTGCTGTTCTTTAGGATATTGCTGTTGTCATAGTTACTGTTATGTGGGCCAAGGAAAGAAGCCAGGAAGACAAGTAGGAATCTGCCCCAGGAACGACCACCGTTCCTTGGAGGAAGAAGTAAAGTACCGTACCTCCTCTGTCCGGGCCAGCAGGGGCCTCAGCCATGCTGACAGCAGCTACAAGAAGCCCGATGGACTTGGAGGGCAGCAGCAGGCTCCTGCGCTGGGGCCTTGAGATGGGGGCTGGCTCGGGGCTGGGTGTCCTTCTGTGGCCCAGCCTGGTGCTTCTGGCAGCTCCGCACTCACAAGGAAAGGAACAGCAGCTTCAATGAGGCAGGAGTCAGCTATTTATACCCCGGAAACAGATGCCTAACCAGCCTGACCCGATCAGCTTTCTGGAGAAAAAGAAAATGAAACTTCTGTGTGTAGTTTTCTAAAGAAACGAAATCGAAAACAGAGCTGACGGGCAGGATGCGGCTGGGGCCTCCAAGCTGGTGGTGGCAGGGAGGAGCTGGACCTGGAAAGACCACAGCATCCTCTCAAGAAGGCTCCAAGGCAGGGGCTTTCTCACCTTCCCTGTGTCCCCTGTTGCCTCCTGGATTCCAGCACAAAGGCCACTGGGTTTTCAACAGATTGTTCCTGTGTGTATCACAATGACGACTCTCTTGAATGAACACCTGCTATGTGCTTCCCAATCTCGTGTACTCCTCCAACTCATATACAGGGCAGGGGCTGGTACTGTCCTCTTTTCTCAGAGGGGAAACTGAGGCTCAGGTCGGTGAGGTCATTTGTCCAAGGCCACACAGAGAGTCTGTGGCAGAGCCAGTCCTGCCTCCTCCTCAGTCATGTTTCCTGCTTCAACTGTAACATCCAGAAGTCATGGGTGAATCACCCTCAGCCCACAGCCCACACTGAGTTCCCAGCCTCACCACAGAACTTGCTTCACAGAGCCAGTCCTGCCTCCTCCTCAGTCATGTTTCCTGCTTCAACTGTAACATCCAGAAGTCCTGGGTGAATCACCCTCAGCCCACAGCCCACACTGAGTTCCCAGCCTCACCACAGAACTTGCTTCATAATTTCAGAGTCATAGATTAGAAAGCCGCCTGCCTGTGCCAACTTCGCAAAGATGCCCTGAGGTTAACTTCTGGGGGCCGCTGTGCTGCTAAGCTGTTAGGAACATGAGCCCGGAGACAGGCTGCTGGGTTCAAACCCTGCCCCACTATTTACTGGCTGTGTGACCTTAGGCAAGTTGTTTAATCTCTCTGTTCCTCAGTTTCCTCAACTGTAAAATGAGGTTAATAAAGGTACCTACCTCATGGGGCCATGGTGAGGACTAAAGATGTAATCCAGCTGAGCAATCTGGCCACAGCCCTCGGGTGCCTTCTACATTCATGAGCATGGTTGGGCACGCACACTCAGGCTTCTAGAAAAGGACCCTTTGCTTTCATAAATTCCCCAAGGGGCCAGTGACCTCCATGCAATACAGAGCCACTTTCTCTTCCAGATTATAGAAAGGGAAACTGAGGCCCGCCTACGTGAATGGCCTTGTGCGAGGCCACCCAGCTCACTGGCAGCCAAGGGGATCAAGAATTCATCCCTAGAAGTCTCAGGACTTGGGGTCCAAGGCTCACCTGCACGTCCCAGCTGCAGAGGGCTAGGAGGGTTTGCAGGCATCCACGGTCCCTTGCGGACCCCTTT